ATTATGCTGCATGTTCACCACAGACACTAAGAGATTGTATAAACGCAGTGCAGTCTTTGGTCAGACAGACTTTGTGTAAGCTCAGCTTTGTTCAACCCATACTGCAGACATGGACAGATTTGTTGCACCCAGCCTCAGTAAGCTTACAAAAACCCAGCCTGCTTCTAATCTATTTCCTCAAAGCTCTATTCCTGCATTCCCAACAGCTCCTCCTGCCCTGCTATCTACCGCATGTCAGTACCCTGTTTCCCACTCGCTGCACCTATCCTGCCTTTAACCCTGTAAAAAAGCCCTCTGTAGCAACTGTTCCCTCCCCTGTTCCATCCTGCAGCTCTTCTCTGTCTCCAGCTGCTCCATTCGTTTGCAGACCTGCGTTTACTTGCAGTGCTCCAGTAGTTAAAACCAGAAAAAAAGCGAAAATTCTTACCAACCAATACCATCCTGCCAGTATCCAAACCGGTGAGCCTGCCGTCTGAGAACCTGCCTTCCGTGGTTCAGCCTGGTGCCTCGGCACCCGCACTTCAGCCTGAGGTCTGTACCCAGCCTGATGCCTGTACCCAGCCTGATGCCTCTATTCAGCCTGATGCCTCTATTCAGCCTGATGCCTCTACTCAGCCTGATGCCTCTCTTCAGCCTGATGCCTCTCTTCAGCCTGATGCCTCTCTTCAGCCTGATGACTCTACTCAGCCTGATGCCTCTCTCTTCAGCCTGATGCCTCTCTTCAGCCTGATGCCTCTCTTCAGCCTGATGCCTCTCTTCAGCCTGATGCCTCTACTCAGCCTGATGCCTCCACTCAGCCTGATGCCTCCACTCAGCCTGATGCCTCTACCCAGCATGATGAACTGATCCAGCCTGATGATCCTATTAGGGCCAGTTGACTCGATGCCCGCTGTTGATCCGGTACCTGATCCGGTGCCCGCTGTCATGCCAATTGACTCAGAGCCCGCTGTCGTACCTGGTGACTCGGTGCCCACTGCCTTGCCAGATGACGCGGTGCCCGCTGGCGAGCCAAATGACCTGATGCTTGGTGACCCAGTGCCCGTTGTCATACCTGGTGACCCGATGCCCGCTGTCGAGCCAGACGATCCAATGCCTGGTGACCCGGTGCCCACTGCCTTGCCAGATGACGCGGTGCCCGCTGGCAAGCCGAATGACCTGATGCCTGGTGACCCAGTGCCCGCTGTCATACCTGGTGACCCGATGCCCGCTGTCGAGCCAGAAATTCGGTACCTGATGACCCGGTGCCCGCTGTCGTGCCCATTGACTCAGAGCCCACTGTCGTGCCTGGTGACTTGGTGCCCACTGTCTTGCCAGATGACGCGGTACCCGCTGTTGAGCCAAATGACCTGATGCCTGGTGACCCGATGCCCGCTGTCCAGCCAGACGATCCAATGTCTGACCCAGTGCCTGCGGTCATGTCAGTTGATTCGGAGCCCACTGCCTTGCCAGATGACGCGGTGCCCGCTGTCGAGCCAAATGACCTGATGCCTGGTGACCCGATGCCCGCTGTCCAGCCAGACGATCCATTGTCTGACCCAGTGCCAGCGGTCATGCCATTTGACTCGGAGCCCACTGTCGTGCCTGGTGACTCGGTGCCTGTCGCTCCGCCTGGGGGCCCGAGACCTGTCGCTCCGCCTGGGGGTCCGGCGCCCGCCGCTCCGCCTGGGGGCCCGAGACCTGTCACTTCGCCTGGGGGTCCGGCGCCCCGCCGCTCCGCCTGGGGGCCCAAGACCTGTCGCTCTGCCTGGGGGTCCGGCGCCCGCCGCTCCGCCTGGGGGCCCGAGACCCTGTCGCTCCGCCTGGGGGTCCGGCGCCCGCCGCTCCGCCTGGGGGCCCGAGACCTGTCGCTCCGCCTAGGGGTCCGGCGCCCGCCGCTCCGCCTGGGAGCCCGAGACCTGTCGCTCCGCCTAGGGGTCCGGCGCCCGCCGCTCCGCCTGGGGGCCCGATGCCTGTCGCCCCGCCTGGGGGCCCGATGCCTGTCGCCCCTCCTGGGGGCCCGCCCCTCCGCCTGGGGGCCCGAGACCTGTCGCTCCGCCTGGGGGCCCGATGCCTGTCACCCCACCTGGGGGCCCGATGCCTGTCGCCCCGCCTGGGGGCCGATGCCTGTCGCCTCGCCTGGGGCCCGATGCCTGTCGCCCCTCCTGGGGGCCTGCCGCTCCACCTGGGGGCCCGAGACCTGTCGCTCCGCCTGGGGGTCCGGCGCCCGCCGCTCCGCCTGGGGGCCCGATGCCTGTCGCCCCGCCTGGGGGCCCGGTGCCTGTCGCCCCGTCTGGGGGCCCGGTGCCTGTCGCCCCGCCTGGGGGCCCGGTGCCTGCTGCTCCACCTGGGGGCCCGGTGCCTACTGCTCTGCCTGGTGGCCTGCTGCCTGCTGCTTCGCCTGGTGATCCGATGTGCCTCTGCCCGGAGTCCAGCCCGATGTGCCTCTGCCCAGAGTCCTGCCCGATGTGCCTCTGCCCAGAGTCCTGCCCGATGTGCCTCTGCCCAGAGTCCTGCCCGATGTGCCTCTGCCCGGAGTCCTGCCCGATGTGCCTCTGCCCGGAGTCCTGCCCGATGTGCCTCTGCCCGGAGTCCTGCCCGATGTGCCTCTGCCCGGAGTCCTGCCCGATGTGCCTCTGCCCGGAGTCCTGCCCGATGTGCCTCTGCCCGGAGTCCTGCCCGATGTGCCTCTGCCCGGAGTCCTGCCCGATGTGCCTCTGCCCGGAGTCCAGCCCAATGTGGGCCGCTCCTTGAGGGGGGGGTACTGTCAGGAATGGACTGGCCAGCAATGATGGGACTCACCTGCCTTATGGGCTGCAGTACCAGGGCTGGCCAGCGGGTGCTCCCAGCAATCAGAGACTCAACCTTGCAGCCAGCCAAACACCTGAAACTGCTTATACTGGTGTATTTAAGGGATGGCCAGACCTGCAGACTCTGCCTTGGTGTGTGGTTTTCCTGGGCCCTGTATCTTGTTCCTGCATCCTGTTCCTGTTCCTGTTTCTGTCTTGTTGCTGACCCTGCCTGATCTGGACCTCTGCTGACTTCTCTCTGCTCTGACCCCGGCTCGTTCCTGACCATCCCTCTGCCTGACCCTCTGTACCACGCTGCCCGCTACCTGCTGAACCTGGCTTATGACCCCGACCATTCTCCGCTTGCTCCCCCTGTACCTACCTGCCCGATTGATATTGACCCGGCCTGCCTGACGACGCTTGCACTGTATGTATTGTCATCTGTGGGTGGTTAGTTTGGTTTGTTTGCACTGTGTTATGTTTTAGTATTGCACTGCGTTTATGTTTGTATTGTTAGTGTTAATAAGTTATATTGTTTATAACATATCTGAAGTCTGCGTTTCCCTGCGTCAGTCACACACCTCTGGTCATACCCGGGAGCCCTGACACTCTGCCTCTGACCGCATCAGTCATGAAAGATATGCTTGTTAATTTTAGAGGTTCTTTGCACAAGGACATGATGATTTTTGTGTCACAGGTGAATGCAGACGTTGAGAATCTGGGGGAGCGGGTCAATCATGTGGAATCTAAGATGGGTGAGTTTGCGACTGCTCACAATGAATTAGTGGATGCTCACAATGATGCGAAAGAGGAATTGAAAGCATTGAGATTAAAAATGGCGGATCTGGAGGATTTCTCGCTCAGGAACAATATTAAATTTAGGGGGGTGAGCGAAACTGTCCCTGCCGTAGACCTTAGACGGTATATTCAACAATTGATAATAGCTTTGCTGCCAAATCTGTTAGAGGGACATGATCATGGACAGGGCGCATAGACTGCTGAAACCTTCCTTTCTTTCTGACCACATGCCCAGGGACGTCATTGCTAGAATCCACTTCTACCATGTGAAGGAGACATTGATGGCCTTTGCAAGAACACACAATCCATTACTGGCACCATATAATGGGATATCTCTGTTCGCTGATCTTTCCCAGTATACCGTTCTTGCCCATAAAAAATTACTTTTCTTTACAAAATTACTCTGTAATAACAACATAAAATACCAATGGGGCTTTCCCACTAAATTGCTGATTACTAAAGATAACCATTTACTTACTGTCAGCTCGGAAGAAGAATTTCAGCTTGCGAAGAAATGGGGGATTGTACCTGCAGAAGGGGAGCTGATGACCGCTAAATCTTCCCCTAGGAAAGCTTCCTCTGGTTGGGACAAAGTGGCGGGTTGATGCATCGTTATGTATTTTTATGCTTTGATTGGGTCATAGAAGGGTTTCCCTGCTAGTCCAGCACCACGATTAGTTGGCGAGCGCAGTTGCTCGCGGTTCCCGGAAATTACCCCCAACTCGTTGAACTGATTTGGTTCACTTGCTTTTACTTGATGTTTGTTTCTATTGTTTCTTCTCAGTTTTCTCTATTCTTTTTTTTATTGGTTTTTCTAACAGAGTATCGGCAACTGCTTTATCTCAGGAATTCTCATGGGTCACTGAAATGTCTCTAATACTAGGGCTGCCTGTACATCTGCTCAAGGGAGAGCTGGCTACTGTGAGTGGCTTTATAAACGCTGAAAATACTGTGCTGCTAATATTTTTCAGGCCACTAGATGGCGATCATGTATTATCTATCCTGTATACTTTAATATGGTACTGAATATTGTGTCTATGAATGCCCAGGGACGATCCAATGCCTGGTGACCCGGTGCCCACTGCCTTGCCAGATGACGCGGTGCCCGCTGGCAAGCCGAATGACCTGATGCCTGGTGACCCAGTGTCCGCTGTCATACCTGGTGACCCGATGCCCGCTGTCGAGCCAGACAATCCGGTACCTGATGACCCGGTGCCCGCTGTCGTGCCCATTGACTCAGAGCCCACTGTCGTGCCTGGTGACTTGGTGCCCACTGTCTTGCCAGATGACGCGGTGCCCGCTGTTGAGCCAAATGACCTGATGCCTGGTGACCCGATGCCCGCTGTCCAGCCAGACGATCCAATGTCTGACCCAGTGCCCGCGGTCATGTCAGTTGATTCGGAGCCCACTGCCTTGCCAGATGACGCGGTGCCCGCTGTCGAGCCAAATGACCTGATGCCTGGTGACCCGATGCCCGCTGTCCAGCCAGACGATCCATTGTCTGACCCAGTGCCAGCGGTCATGCCAGTTGACTCGGAGCCCACCGTCGTGCCTGGTGACTCGGTGCCTGTCGCACCGCCTGGGGGTCCGGCGCTCGCCGCTCCGCCTGGGGGCCCGAGACCTGTCGCTCCGCCTGGGGGTCCGGCGCCCGCCGCTCGCCTGGGGGCCCGAGACCTGTCACTTTGCCTGGGGGTCCGGCGCCCGCCGCTCCGCCTGGGGGCCCGGGACCTGTCGCTCTGCCTGGGGGTCCGGCGCCCGCCGCTCCGCCTGAAGGGCCGGGACCTGTCGCTCCACCTGGGGGCCCAAGACCTGTCGCTCTGCCTGGGGGTCCGGCGCCCGCCGCTCCGCCTGGGGGCCCGAGACCTGTCGCTCCGCCTGGGGGTCCGGCGCCCGCCGCTCCGCCTGGGGGCCCGGGACCTGTCGCTCCGCCTAGGGGTCCGGCGCCCGCCGCTCCGCCTGGGAGCCCGAGACCTGTCGCTCCGCCTAGGGGTCCGCCTGGGGGCCCGATGCCTGTCGCCCCGCCTGGGGGCCCGATGCCTGTCGCCCCGCCTGGGGGCCCGATGCCTGTCGCCCCTCCTGGGGGCCCGCCCCTCCACCTGGGGGCCCAAGACCTGTCGCTCCGCCTGGGGGCCCGATGCCTGTCACCCCACCTGGGGGCCCGATGCCTGTCGCCCCGCCTGGGGGCCCGATGCCTGACGCCTCGCCTGGGGGCCCGATGCCTGTCGCCCCTCCTGGGGGCCTGCCGCTCCACCTGGGGGCCCGAGACCTGTCGCTCCGCCTGGGGGTCCGGCGCCCGCCGCTCCGCCTGGGGGCCCGATGCCTGTCGCCCCGCCTGGGGGCCCGATGCCTGTCGCCCCGCCTGGGGGCCCGATGCCTGTCGCCCTGCCTGGGGCCCGATGCCTGTCGCCCCGTCTGGGGGCCCGATGCCTGTCGCCCCGTCTGGGGCCCGATGCCTGTCGCCCCGTCTGGGGGCCCGATGCCTGTCACCCCCCCGGGGGGCCCGGTGCCTGCTGCTCCGCCTGGGGGGGGCCCGGTGCCTACTGCTCCGCCTGGGTGGCCCGCTGCCTGCTGCTTCGCCTGGTGATCCGATGTGCCTCTGCCCGGAGTCCAGCCCGATGTGCCTCTGCCCAGAGTCCTGCCCGATGTGCCTCTGCCCGGAGTCCTGCCCGTGTGCTCTCTGCCCGGAGTCCTGCCCGATGTGCCTCTGCCCGGAGTCCTGCCCGAGGTGCCTCTGCCCGGAGTCCTGCCCGATGTGCCTCTGCCCGGAGTCCTGCCCGATGTGCCTCTGCCCGGAGTCCTGCCCGATGTGCCTCTGCCCGGAGTCCAGCCCGATGTGCCTCTGCCCGGAGTCCTGCCCGATGTGCCTCTGCCCGGAGTCCTGCCCGATGTGCCTCTGCCCGGAGTCCTGCCCGATGTGCCCAGTGCCTGCTGCTCCGCCTGGGGGCCCAGTGCCTGCTGCTCCGCCTGGGGGCCTGGTGCCTACTGCTCTGCCTGGTGGCCCGCTGCCTGCTGCTTCGCCTGGTGATCCGATGTGCCTCTGCCCGGAGTCCAGCCCGATGTGCCTCTGCCCGGAGTCCAGCCCGATGTGCCTCTGCCCGGAGTCCTGCCCGATGTGCCTCTGCCCGGAGTCCAGCCCGATGTGCCTCTGCCCGGAGTCCTGCCCGATGTGCCTCTGCCCGGAGTCCTGCCCGATGTGCCTCTGCCCGGAGTCCTGCCCGATGTGCCTCTGCCCGGAGTCCTGCCCGATGTGCCTCTGCCCGGAGTCCTGCCCGATGTGCCGCTGCCCGGAGTCCTGCCCGATGTGCCGCTGCCCGGAGTCCTGCCCGAGGTGCCTCTGCCCGGAGTCCTGCCCGATGTGCCTCTGCCCGGAGTCCTGCCCGATGTGCCTCTGCCCGGAGTCCTGCCCGATGTGCCTCTGCCCGGAGTCCAGCCCGATGTGCCTCTGCCCGGAGTCCTGCCCGATGTGCCTCTGCCCGGAGTCCTGCCCGATGTGCCTCTGCCCGGAGTCCTGCCCGATGTGCCCAGTGCCTGCTGCTCCGCCTGGGGGCCCAGTGCCTGCTGCTCCGCCTGGGGGCCCGGTGCCTACTGCTCTGCCTGGTGGCCCGCTGCCTGCTGCTTCGCCTGGTGATCCGATGTGCCTCTGCCCGGAGTCCAGCCCGATGTGCCTCTGCCCGGAGTCCAGCCCGATGTGCCTCTGCCCGGAGTCCTGCCCGATGTGCCTCTGCCCAGAGTCCAGCCCGATGTGCCTCTGCCCGGAGTCCTGCCCGATGTGCCTCTGCCCGGAGTCCTGCCCGATGTGCCTCTGCCCGGAGTCCTGCCCGATGTGCCTCTGCCCGGAGTCCTGCCCGATGTGCCTCTGCCCGGAGTCCTGCCCGATGTGCCGCTGCCCGGAGTCCAGCCCGATGTGCCGCTGCCCGGAGTCCTGCCCGGTGTGCCGCTGCCCGGAGTGCCTCTGCCCGCTGTGCCGCTGCCCGGTGTGCCGCTGCCCGATGTGCCTCTGCCCGGAGTTCTGCCCGATGTGCCTCTGCCCGGTGTGCCGCTGCCTGATGGGCCGCTGCCCGGAGTCCTGTCCGGTGTGCCGCTGCCCGGAGTCCTGCCCGGTGTGCCAGTCTTTGATATCCCGCCAGTTACCAGACCCGGGCGGTGGAACATTTTGCCCAGCTAGGACTGTTTGGAGCGTCCTGAGGCCGCTCCTTGAGGGGGGGGGGGTACTGTCAGGAATGGACTGGCCAGCAATGATGGGACTCACCTGCCTTATGGGCTGCAGTACCAGGGCTGGCCAGCGGGTGCTCCCAGCAATCAGAGACTCAACCTTGCAGCCAGCCAAACACCTGAAATTGCTTATACTGGTGTATTTAAGGGATGGCCAGACCTGCAGACTCTGCCTTGGTGTGTGGTTTTCCTGGGCCCTGTATCTTGTTCCTGCATCCTGTTCCTGTCTTGTTGCTGACCCTGCCTGATCTGGACCTCTGCTGACTTCTCCTGCTCTGACCCCGGCTCGTTCCTGACCATCCCTCTGCCTGACCCTCTGTACCACACTGCCCGCTACCTGCTGAACCTGGCTTATGACCCCGACCATTCTCCGCTTGCTCCCCCTGTACCTACCTGCCCGATTGATATTGACCCGGCCTGCCTGACGACGCTTGCACTGTATGTATTGTCATCTGTGGGTGGTTGGTTTGGTTTGTTTGCACTGTGTTATGTTTTAGTATTGCACTGCGTTTATGTTTGTATTGTTAGTGTTAATAAGTTATATTGTTTATAACATATCTGAAGTCTGCGTTTCCCTGCGTCAGTCACACACCTCTGGTCATACCCGGGAGCCCTGACACTCTGCCTCTGACCGCATCAGTCATGAAAGATATGCTTGTTAATTTTAGAGGTTCTTTGCACAAGGACATGATGATTTTTGTGTCACATGTGAATGCAGACGTTGAGAATCTGGGGGGAGCGGGTCAATCATGTGGAATCTAAGATGGGTGAGTTTGCGACTGCTCACAATGAATTAGTGGATGCTCACAATGATGCGAAAGAGGAATTGAAAGCATTGAGATTAAAAATGGCGGATCTGGAGGATTTCTCGCTCAGGAACAATATTAAATTTAGGGGGGTGAGCGAAACTGTCCCTGCCGTAGACCTTAGACGGTATATTCAACAATTGATAATAGCTTTGCTGCCAAATCTGTTAGAGGGACATGATCATGGACAGGGCGCATAGACTGCTGAAACCGTCCATTCTCTCTGACCACATGCCCAGGGACGTCATTGCTAGAATCCACTTCTACCATGTGAAGGAGACATTGAGGGCCTTTGCAAGAACACACAATCCATTACTGGCACCATATAATGGGATATCTCTGTTCGCTGATCTTTCCCAGTATACCGTTCTTGCCCATAAAAAATTACTTTTCTTTACAAAATTACTCTGTAATAACAACATAAAATACCAATGGGGCTTTCCCACTAAATTGCTGATTACTAAAGATAACCATTTACTTACTGTCAGCTCGGAAGAAGAATTTCAGCTTGCGAAGAAATGGGGGATTGTACCTGCAGAAGGGGAGCTGATGACCATTAAATCTTCCCGTAGGAAAGCTTCCTCTGGTTGGGACAAAGTGGCGGGTTGATGCATCGTTATGTATTTTTATGCTTTGATTGGGTCATAGAAGGGTTTCCCTGCTAGTCCAGCACCACGGTTAGTTGGCGAGCGCAGTTGCTCGCGGTTCCCGGAAATTACCCCCAACTCGTTGAACTGATTTGGCTCACTTGCTTTTACTTGATGTTTGTTTCTATTGTTTCTTCTCAGTTTTCTCTATTCTTTTTTTATTGGTTTTTCTAACAGAGTATCGGCAACTGCTTTATCTCAGGAATTCTCATGGGTCACTGAAATGTCTCTAATACTAGGGCTGCCTGTACATCTGCTCAAGGGAGAGCTGGCTACTGTGAGTGGCTTTATAAACGCTGAAAATACTGTGCTGCTAATATTTTTCAGGCCACTAGATGGCGATCATGTATTATCTATCCTGTATACTTTAATATGGTACTGAATATTGTGTCTATGAATGCCCACGGTCTCAATAGTCCATTCAAACATGGTATGATGTGGAAGGAGACACAGAACCTACATGGGGACATAATTTGTGTACAAGAAACTCATTTTTCTGCACTTAAGGTCCCACGCTTCTGCCATAAACTGTTCCCACGTGTTCACAGCTAATGCCCCTTAGAAAAAGTGTGCTGTCCTGATAGCGTTCTCTCTTCTTGCCCTGGAGAAAGACTGGAAAATCAGGTTCTTAGTAAATCGCCTGGGGCGGACGGGTTTACTGTAGAATATTACAAGGAATTTCAAGACATCTTATTGCCCCATATTAAGAAAGTGTTCTTGGAGGCAGGGCTTCTCCAGGGCTTCCCCTATTCTCTGGAATTCCCTACCCCAATCCATCAGACTGTCACCTACTCTCCTCACCTTTAGGCGCACTCTGAAAATCTCTTCAGGGAAGCCTACCCCACCCTTAGCTAATTACTGAACTCCTCCACTCTTCCTATCGCTTCATCCCCCACAGCTATTTCCTCCTGTACCACTATCCCCTCCCTCCTAGATTGTAAGCTCCAAGGAGCAGTGCCCTTCGAACCCTTAGTGTATTGAATCATATTGTTACTGTACTGTCTCATGTACTGTCTCGCGGGGGATGTGGCGTCGACTCTTCAGGAGTCAAATCTTTATGATCCTTGGAGATGTCTCCATGAATCAGAGAAAGATTTTACGTACTACTCATCCCCGCTTAAGTCCTACTCTAGGATTGATTACTTCTTAACCGATTTACAACTCGTTCAACATGTAACCAAAGCAACCATCCATCCTATGACATGGTCAGACCATGTGCCCATATCTCTTAGCATAAAAGAGATTCTAAAATTTTCACCGATATACCTATGGCGCAATGACACTTCTATGTTTCTCAATCCCAATAGCCGTTCTCATATCTCTAAATCATTGCAGGAGTACTTTGCTATTAATGCCTCTTCAGAAACAGATATATTTTATATGTGGTGTGCACATAAGGCTGTGCTACCACAGTTAGTTTCCAGGGAGAAAAAGCGCAGACAAAGTGCTCTGTCTGACATTTTATCTAGGATTGCTAGTTTAGAATCCCAACACAAACGGAGTCTTTCTTTTAAGGTGCTACAGAAATTACAGACTAACAGATTAGCTCTTAGGAAAATTATTTTTCTCCAGCATGAAAAATACCTTAGAAGAGCCAAAACTAATTACTATACCCAGGGCAATAAGGCCGGAAGGTTACTAGCCTCTTACATCAACACTAAACAGGCAAAAACCAAAATCCCTTCTATGATAGATCCCAAAACGATGAAAAAGGTATTACATCCTAACAAAATTGCAGAGGCATTTCAGGCCTACTATGCTCAATTGTACAATCTCAAAGATGATCCCAATACGCACCTGCCTACCCCACCTTTATTGAGAGCTTTTTGGAGGGTCTCTCTCTAACTAAATTGGACCAGTCTAAGTTGGATATTTTGAACCATCCTATATCAGATAATGAGGTGATTGCCGCTATTAAAGCATTACCGAAGGGGAAATCGCCTGGGGCGGACAGGTTTACTGTAGAATATTACAAGGAATTTCAAAACATCTTATTGCCCCATATTAAGAAAGTGTTCTGAGGCAGCCAATACTGCAGCTTTTCCCCCCAAGATGTTGAAGGCAATCATAGTTACCCTGCCCAAACCCGGCAAATCCCCAGACTGTCCCCCAACATTTTCGCCCAATATCCTTACTTAATATGGATCTTAAAATATATGCTAAAATCCTTGCTAGTAGATTACTAACAGTGACTCCTTCCATTATCCAATCAGACCAAGTAGGTTTCGTTAAAGGTAAGAAGGCAGCAGATGGCACACGTAGAGTGCTTAATTTGTTAAGGATTGCTGAACTCCGTAATTTGCAGACTGTCTTTTTGGCATTAGATGCGGAAAAGGCTTTCGATAGAGTTCATTGGCAATATCTCGACTCTACTCTTTGCAACTTTGATATGCATGGTTACATCAAATCGGCTATTACAGCACTATATATTGTTCCTTCTGCACAAGTCTTTACATCCAATGCTCTGTCAGAGACTTTTTTAATCACAAATGGGACTAGACAGGGATGTCCCCTTTCCCGTATACTTTTTTCACTAGTGATGGAACCCTTGACGACCTCAATTAGATTGAATCCCTTGATCTCTGGTATAACGACAGCAAATATATCCCACAAGACTGGCCTATTTGCGGATGATGTCATACTTACAGTAACGGACCCATTGACTTCCTTGACAGCAATCTCCTCTACTCTGGAAACGTTTAGCAATATCTCCTACTATAAACTCAATATTACTAAATCTTGCTCGCTTCCTATAGGTATTACAAAGGAACTTTTACAATGCCTTAAAGACAAGTTCCTGTATAGCTGGTCCACTAAAACATGTGTGTCCTTCTTGAACATGTGTGTCCTACTTGAACATGTGTGTCCTTTCCCTCTTCCAATATGTTTAGAGATAATTATGAGAAACTGTATCAGGCAATTGTAACGGAGCTATCAGCAATTGGGAAAAATTAGCCTGGTTGGGCAGATTAGCAGCCTTTAAGATGTTGACCTTGCTTAAACTCTTATACTACTTTAGAATGATTTTAGGGGGGGGCAGAGCCTGGTATGTGGGCTGGTATGGTTCAGGAGGGGAGGGGGTTGCTCGCTCATCCTCCTCCTTTCCTGACCTGCTGGACTGCATGCTTAGCCAAGGGTCTGGTATGGATTTTTTTGGGTGGGAACCCCACACCTTCTTTTTGCAAAATGTTTAATTGCCGGCTATTCTTTTTACATTCAGCTGTCAGCGGGAAACTGACAACTGAAACATTTAAAGTATGTTTTCACTACTTAATAAAATAACTCATGCAGTATTTTAGCAGGGTTTTTTTTTAAATGTTGAGTGGTGTCTTACTGCATACTGGGATGCAGTAAGATACCGCTTAGTGAATTGTCCCGGTTTGAATGTTCAACTGCGAGTCAAACAGCGGGGTGTCATCACTAGTATGCACACCATGTTTATGGCCACTTTTGTGGTGAACAAAGAGGAATCAAGCAGTAAGGATCTAATCCTAACCCAGTGTCTGGCAGTGGCTTTTCCTACTGAGCGAACCGAAGAGCTCTTTGCCTCTTCTCTTGATTAATCTTCCTAGCTATCTATACTACTGTGCAAATGTTTTAGGTAGGTGTGAAAAAATGCTGAAAATTAAAAATACTTTCAGAAATAGTGTTAATAGTTTATGTTTATCAATTAACAAAATGGAAAGTAAATGAACAGAAGAAAATCCAAATTAAATCAATATTTGGTGTGACCACCCTTTGCTTTCAAAAGAGCACCAATTCTTCTAAGTACACTTACACACAATTTTTAAGGAATTCGGCAGGTAGGTTGTTCGAAACATCTTGGAGAACTGACCATTGATCTTCTTTAGGTTGCCTCAAATCCTTCTGTCTCTTCATCCCAGACAAACTCGATGATGTTGATATCAGGGCTCTGTCCCTACAGGGCCAACCATCACTTCCAGGACTCCTTGGTCTTCTTTACACTGAAGATGTTTGATGTCCTACTACATTTTAGGCCAATCACATGCCTCTTTGATGGTATGGCATGAAGGATACATATATGCCTGTATTTCACAGCATTTAGGACACCATTGATACTGACCAAATCTCTAACGCCATTTGCAGAAATGCAGCCCAAAACCTGCAAGGAAACTCTTCCATGCTTCACTGTTGCCTGCAGACACTAATTGTTGTATTGCTTTACTGCCCTTCGGCAAACAAACTGCTCCTTGCTGCAGCCAAGTATTTAAAATTTTGGCTCATCAGTCCAGAACATCTGCTGCACCCCAGTTACTATGTTTTTGTGCGTAGTTCAGTTACATAGCTTTGTTTCCACTTTGAAGGTATGGCTTTTTTGGCTGCAATTCTTCTATGAAGGCCAATTCTGGACAGATCCTCAATGCTGCCCTTTTCTTTGTGCGTCCTCAAAAGAGCTTGAACAGCACACCTTGAAACCCCAGTCTGCTTTGATATCTTTTCCTGGGAGAGACCTTGCTGATGCAGTCTAACTACCTTGTGTCTTATTGCTGTGCTCATCTTTCCATGGTGTATGACCTGTGACATGAAACTGTTTCCCACAAACTCTGTGCAGGCCAGTAAAGTTCCTCCACCCCAAATGCGCTCATCCATGTGTTTATGGAGCTTGCTTTGTGCACTGGTGCGCAAATGCTGCCCTTTTCTTTGTGCGTCCTCAAAAGAGCTTGAACAGCACACCTTGAAACCCCAGTCTGCTTTGATATCTTTTCCTGGGAGAGACTTTGCTGATGCAGTCTAACTACCTTGTGTCTTATTGCTGTGCTCAGTCTTTCCATGGTGTATGACCTGTGACATGAAACTGTTTTCCACAAACTCTGTGCAGGCCAGTAAAGTTCCTCCACCCCAAATGCGCTCATCCATGTGTTTATGGAGCTTGCTTTGTGCACTGGTGCGCAGTCATGTTGAAACAGGAAGGGGCCATTACCAAATTGTTCCCACAAAGTTAGGAACATAAAATTGTCCAAAATGTCTTGGTATGCTGACTCCTTAAGAGTTCCCTTCACTAGAACTATGGGACCAAGCCCAACCCCTGGAAAACAACTCCACATCATAATCCCCCTCCACCAAACTTTACACTTGTCACAGTGCAGTCAGGCAAGTACCGTTCTCCTGGCAACCGCCAAACCCAAACACTTCCATCTGATTGACAGACAGATAAGCGTAATTTGTCACTCCAGAGGCCAGGTCTCCACTACTCTGAAGTCCAGGGGAAGTGTGCTTTACACCATTGCATCCAACGTTTTGCATTGCACTTGGTGATGTAAGACTTGGATGCAGCTGCTCGGCCATGGAAACCCATTCCATGAAGCTCTCTACGCACTGTTGTTGTGCTAATCTGAAGGCCACACAAAGTTTGGAGGTCTTTAGCTATTGACTCTGCAGACAGTTGGGCCCTGATTTACTATTGGGCGTGGGCGCATATTCGTGGGCGAACGCCCAATTTTTATGGGCGACCGTCTATTTTTACCCCGCAACGAGATTTACTATTGAGCAGCGCCCATAAGCAGATGCCCAATCAAATTTACAAAAAGACACACGCCCGGAATCAGACTCACAAAGCAGACTTGCTAAGAAGCACGTCTAACACCATGAAAAATCACTGCAGAGACATGTTCACTTAGAAATTTGCTTTGCCAAATATCAGGACTTCACTTTAAACAATATCTGCTATTTCCAAAAAAATTAAGAATGTGTTAAAAATTGTTTTTTTCAAGGAAATCGACACAGTAAAAATCTAGACGCCCCTGCAGTGTCTTTGGCAGATATAAATGCGCATGTGCAGAACACATTTTAGGTGTCTGCCATGGATGTTTGCTTTTTAGACACTGCCCAATAGTAAATCTCACTGTGGATTCCTCTGACAGCCGGCACTTGGTAGCGTCTACTGTGTTAAACAAACAGCACTAAGCATATCTTCATGTATTCTAATTTGATTTCCTTAGTTCTAGTGATTTTATTTTTGTTTGTTCTCCTTTATAATTATTTCTGTAATGATTTTACTTATTTTGAAGGTCTAGATAATATTTATTTTGACAGCTGAATGTAAAAATAAAGGTCCGCAATAAAAAAAAAACAAAAAAAACAGCGTGGGTCCCCCCTCTCATCCTTACCAAGCCCTTCAGGTCTGGTATGGATATTAAGGGGGAACTCCACGCTGAAATTTAAAAAAAAAACAGCGTGGGTCCCCCGCAATATCCATACCAGACCCTTATCTGAGCATGCAGCCCGGCAGGTCAGGAAGGGGGGGGGACGAGCGAGCGCCCCCCCTCCTGAACCATACCAGGCCACATGCCCTCAACATGGGGGGGTGCTTTGAGGCAGGGGGGGCTCCCCCCCAAAGCACCTTGTCCCCATGTTGATGGGGACAAGGGCCTCTTCCCCATAACCTTGGCCGGTGGTTGTGGGGGTCTGCAGGCGGGGGGCTTATCAGAATCTGGAAGCCCTCTTTAACAAGGGGGCCCCCAGATCCCCCCCCCCCCCCACGTGAATGAGTCTGCGGTACATGGTCCCGCTGTCTCTCCACTGAGGCTAACTAGCTGAATGCAGGAGACAGTCTGACATTTCTTATATAGGTATGGGGCGGGGCCAGCCGAGAACAGCAAGCATGTGACATGGGGTGGGTAACTCGGATGATGTCCCCGGCTGGCCTCACCCCATACCTACAGTGGGGCAAAAAAGTATTTAGTCAGCCACCAATTGTGCAAGTTCTCCAACTTAAAAAGATGAGAGAGGCCTGTAATTGGCATCATAGGTAGACCTCAACTATGAGAGAAAAAATGAGAAAAAAAATCCAGACAATCACATTGGCTGATTTGGAAAGAATTTATTTGCAAATTACGGTGGAAAATAAGTATTTGGTCACCTACAAACAAGCAAGATTTCTGGGTCTCACAGACCTGTACCTTCTTCTTTAAGAGGCTCTTCTGTCCTGCACTCATTACCTGTATCAATGGCACCTGTTTGAACTTGTTATCAGTATAAAAGACACCTATCCACAACCTCAAACAGCCACACTCCAAACTCCACTATGGTGAAGACCAAAAAGCTGTCGAAGGACACCAGAAACAACATTGTAGACCTGCACCAGGCTGGGAAAATTGAATCTGCAATAGGCAAGCAGCTTGGTGTGAACAAAATCAACTGTGGGAGCAATAATTAGAAAATGGAAGACATACAAGACCACTGATAATCTCCCTCGATCTGGGGCTCCACACAAGATCTCACCTCGTGGGGTCAAAATGATCACAAGAACGGTGAGCAAAAATCCCAGGACCACACGGGGGGACCTAGTGAATGACCTGCAGAGATCTGGGACCAACGTAACAAAAGCTACCATCAGTAACGCACTATGCCGCCAAGGACTCAGATCCTGCAGTGCTAGACGTGTCCCCCTGCTTAAGCCAGTACATGTCCGGGCCCATCTGAAGTTTGCTAGAGAGCATTTGGATGATCCAGAAGAGGATTGGGAGAATGTCATATGGTCAGATGAAACCAAAATAGAACTGTTTGGTAGAAACACAACTCATCGTGTTTGGAGGAGACAGAATGCTGAGTTACATCCAAAGAACACCATACCTACTGTGAAGCATAGGGGTGGCACAACATCATGCTTTGGGGCTGTTTCTCCGCAAAGAACCAGGACGACTGATCCATGTACAGGACAGAATGAATGGGGGTCATGTATCGTGAGATTTTGTGTGCAAACCTCCTTCCATCAGCAAGGGCATTGAAGATGAAACGTGGCTGGGTCTTCCAACATGACAATGATCCCAAACATACCACCCGGGCAACGAAGGAGTGGCTTCGTAAGAAGCATTTCAAGGTCCTGGAGTGGCCTAGCCAGTCTTTAGATCTCAATCCCATAGAAAACCTTTGGAGGGAGTTGAAAGTCCGTGTTGCCCAGCGACAGCCCCAAAACCTCACTGCTCTAGAGGAGATGTGCATGGAGGAATGGGCCAACATACCAGCAACAGTGTGTGCCAACCTTGTGAAGACTTACAGGAAACGTTTGACCTTTGTCATTGCCAACAAAGGATATATAACAAAGTATTGAGATGAACTTTTGATATTGACCAAATACTTATTTTCCACCATAATTTGCAAATAAATTCTTTCCAAATCAGCCATGTGATTGTCTGGATTTTATTTCTCATTTTGTCTCTCATAGTTGAGGTCTACCTATGATGCCAATTACAGGCCTCTCTCATCTTTTTAAGTGGGAGAACTTGCACAATTGGTGGCTGACTAAATACTTTTTTGCCCCACTGTATATAAGAAATGTCAGCTAGCCTTTTCTTCACAAGGCTGGAAGCCTCGGACGGGAGCAGAACTTTTTTTTTTCTTTCTTTTTTCGGGTCCCTGCCGCTGCCGTGATTGACGTTGGATCTATTTCGGGGGGACATTGTTTTAATAAAGGACTTGTCAAAGACCCTGTACTGTTTTTTTTACACCAAACTTAGTTTTTTTTGTGAATGAGTCGCAGGACCATGTACCGCAGACTCATTCACGTGGGGGGGGGCGGGATCTGGGGGCCCCCTTGTTAAAGGGGGCTTCTAGATTCTGATAAGCCCCCCACCCGCAGACCCCCAGAACCACCGGCCAGGGTTGTGGGGAAGAGGCCCTTGTCCTCATCGACATGGGGACAAGGTGCTTTGGGGGTGGAGCCCCCCCTGCCCCAAAGCACCCCCCCATGTTGAGGGAATGTGGCCTGGTATGGTTCAGGAGGGGGGGCGCTCGCCCCCACCCTTTCCTGACCTGCTGGGCTGCATGCTCGGATAAGGGTCTGGTATGGATATTGAGGGGGACCCACGCTTTTTTTTTTTTAAATTTCAGCATGGAGTTCCCCCTTAATATCCATACCAGACCTGAAGGGCTTGGTATGGATGGGAGGGGGGACCCACGCTGTTTTTTTATTATTTATATTTAATTCATGGAAATAATTTAAAATTCAGCTGTCAGTGGGAAACCCCGATGACAGCTGAAACATTCCTTCTGTCCCTGCAGAGAGCTCCGTTATTATATTTGACATTAAAAAGTATACAGACTGCAACATTGTATCCATTCCGGATATAGATGTTTTTATTCGGATACATATAGATACTCAATGTTGCAACCTTTATACTTTTTAATGTCAATATAATAGCGCAGCTCTCTGCAGGGACAGAAGTAATTACTTCGCTATTATATTTAATGGCCATAGACGGGGCGAAAATCGGACAATTTTTTTTACCATTGGTGGTAACGTCGGCCCATTGAACAACCAATTTTTCGTTTTTTTGTTTTTTTTTTTAAAACGGTCAGTTTTCGCCCCATCTATGGCCTGCATTTTTCTTTTTCTTCTTTTTCTTATTCTTTTTTTATTCTTCTTTTTCATTTTCTTCTTCTTTTTCTTCTTTTTTGCAGGTCATGGCTCATGTGCAGATTTTTTATCTGTTAAAAGATCAGCCAAATTGGCTGATCTTTTAACAGATAAAAAATCTGCACATGAGCCATGACCTGCAAGAAAAAGAAGAAAAAGAAGAAGAAAATGAAAAAGAAGAATAAAAAAAGAATAAGAAAAAGAAGAAAAAGAAAAATGCAGGCCATAGATGGGGCGAAAACTGACCGTTTTAAAAAAAAAAAAAACAAAAAACAAAAAATTGGTTGTTCAATGGGCCGACGTTACCACCAATGGTAAAAAAAATTGTCCGATCATTGCAGCTAAAATCGGCCGATCTGCAAAATCGGCCGATTTTTATCCAAATTTACCAATTAAAAAAAGTGGCAAAATCCCCAAAAATGGCTGACCAATTAACCCACTAACGGCCCGAAATCAGCTGATTTTTTTTCAGACATTTTAGACCCATCTAAAGCAGGCCATAGATGGGTCTAAAATCGGCCAATTTTTTCTGCCAAAAAAAAAAAATCGAATGATTTTTGGGCCATTAGTGGGTTAATTGGTCAGCCGTTTTTTGGGATTTTTGGCACAATGTTTTTATCAGTAAATTTGAAAAAAAAAAAATTTCCAACTTTACTGATAAACAAAATATTCTAAAATCCTGAAAAATGGCCGACCAATTATCCCACTAACGGAAGAGGCCCTTGTCCCCATTAACATGGGGACAAGGTGCTTTGGGGAGGAGCCCCCCTGCCCCAAAGGACCCCCCCATGTTGAGGGCATGTGGCCTGGTATGGTTCAGGAGGGGGGGCGCTCGCTCGTCCCCCCCCCCCCTTTCCTGACCTGCCGGGCTGCATGCTCGGATAAGGGTCTGTTATGGATTTTGGGGGGATCCCCAAGCTGTTTTTTATTTAATTTCGGTGTGGAGTCCCCCTTAATATCCATACCAGACCCAAAGGACTTGGTGTGGATGGGGGGGGGACCCCATGCCGTTTTTTATTTATTATAGTGCTGGTTTTTAAATGTAATTCTCCCTTTCTTTTTTTTTTTTTCTTCACTATAGCTCAGAAATTCACCTGTCACTTCCCCCAGCTAAAAGAGAAAGTTTTTCTTGGAATTTAATATCCCTAAAGGAAACAATGTTTACTTTGAGTTTATTAAAAGATACAAAGTTTACTGTAACTTCGGGGAAAGTGACTTCTAAGCTTGTGAACTACAGTGAAGAAAAAAAAAAGGCTGGCATTTGCATTTGAAAATCAGCGCCGACATACACTTTGTATTACGAAAAAAATTATTAACAATTGTGTAAACCGAGGCATTATTTTCAATGGATTTTCATTCGTAAACCGAAAATTACGTTAACCGAGGCGTTGGTAAACCGAGGTACGCTTGTGCATCCCAATCCTTTGTATCCCAATCCTTTGTATTGTGATACATAAAACCAACATACATCTGAATTGGCAACATAGCACAACATTTGTGTCGCATTTGAGCTATCTGGCTATTACACTGACCTTGCCCAGGGACCTAGGATTGATTCACACCACAGAAATACAGGCAGGTTTAGTGTTCAACAGCTCCGTGGATTTAGTGGTTAGCACTATTGCCTCACAACACTAGGGTTGTTGGTTTGAATCCCAACCACAGCAATGAATTTGTATGATCTCCGTGTGACTACCCTAACATACATGTGCTGGTGGCAGCATCTTTGCTTTCTGTTTAAATGATCCCTAGAATGTGAATTAGAATGAGGCCTTGTCTGTTAAAACACCTTTAAAGTAGCAGCACCTTATGTGAATGTCAAAGGATGGGATGAGATAAGGCCTGGGACTAATGATTGATTGGATAATGCTGGTTTGCGCTCCACATCCTTTGGGAAATCCATAACAGACTCTTATCTGAGCATGCAGATACCGCATTCCTTCAAAGATTTTATTTCCTTGTTGAATTGCCTGCTTGGTTCACACTAGATGTGATTTAAAATTGTGCTTTTTGTTGGCAATTTCACCGTGTTTTCTATAGATTTACCAATGAGCTATTGCGTTTTCAATTGTGTTTTGCATTGCGATTTCTATTGTAGTCTTTATGTGAAATCGCTACAAAATGCTGAAAAAGTTAGACAAGAACTACTTTTGAAATTGTGCTGCAGCAAATCGCTTACGTTAAGACACTCACATCCACATTCATTAGATCGGATATCAGGTACAATTTCAATTCCCAAATTGCACCTGAAATCGTGCACCCTGGATGCGACTTAGCATGCGATTTGCATGGCATGCGACTTGCAAATTGTATGCCAAGTCGCACCCTATTGTCTGCTATTAGAGCAGTCACATGGGTGCGTTTCCGACACTGATTTCTAAAGTAGTACATGTACTACTTTTGTGACGATTTGCATAGATATCTGTGTCAGATGTCTTGAAAATCGTAAGGAAATCAGCATCTTCACAATTTTCTAAATCGGCTTTGATGTGACCGGGGTGTAAGGCCTTTTTATGTTTGATTTCCTGAGTGTTTTTCTGATTTATGGGAAATACCGCATACTAGCAAAATTGAATTGACATTTTCAGTATTGCATGTGAGATGTGGTCATGTGACTGCCTTAACTCATGCGATAATCTGGAGTGAATTGTGCCCATAGGGCCAAGAAATATTGCCAGTAAGGTTCCCTTTCACATCTCTGTTCAATGTTCTGTTGTATGCTGCACAAGTACAGTTCAATGTGGCTTTCTTTCTGACTCTGATTTGTGGGCCTGTATACCAAGGGTTAACGCAGGTGGGGAAGAGGTTTCATCAGCTGCAAACACTTTCTCTGACCAAATGAATGACAGTGGTGGGTGTGGCCTACCTTATATATAGAGATGCAGTTGGGGCTGATTTTTGCTTGGTATAGACACATTATTACGCAAGTCCTTGTCTGTGGTGGTTTGGGGAGGAAGAGAAATTGTGGTGAATTGCCCCAGGCCACACTAACGCTGTGTTTTGATGTGGTCTGTAAATGTTTTGCATGTTCTTCCTTCTAAGGTGTTTGTGTGTTATTGTACAATAATTGTGTGTATTACCTTTGCATTGTAATCCTAACACATGTCCATTGCTCTGCTCTTCCAAGTTTGCTTTATTTAGTATGAAATGCAGTTTTCAGACAAAACCTGGTGAGAAATGTATGTGTGGGGGATTTGGGGAGGGGGGAGGTGTTTATATTTTGGCATGTATGTATTTTTATATTGATATTTCAATCTGCAGCTTCTGTGAATAAGCCAAGTGATTAATATTAACCGTTGGTTTCCTGCTGTAACCTGTGAAAGCACAGTTCATTATAAGTATAATCTTTTAGATTGTAAGCTCTTATGAGCAGGAGCGTTCTATTTTAGCAACATCAATCCTGTTTTTTTTTTTTTTTTCCCACACCAAGATATTGAATGTAGCTTTTTGTTGTCCAAATGTGGAATGTGTATTTGATCAATAAACATTTGTACTATGTATTTTTTTTGGGGGGATTGTTTCATGTTTTAGTTGTATGTTGCACAGTGGCCAAATGGTTAGCACTTCCACCTGGCAGTACTAGGGTCGTTGGTTCGAATCGCCCCAGCCATGCCAGCTCCTGCCTGGAGTTTGCATGTTCTCCCTGTGCCTGTTTCCTCTGGGTACTCCGGTTTCCTCCCACACTCTAAAGACATGCTGGTAGGTTAATTGGATCCTGTCAAAATTGGCCCTAGTATATGTATGAATGTAAGTTAGGGCTCTTAGTATGCCCCTTGAGGGTTAGGGACTGATGTGAATTTACCACATCTATATGTAAAGTGCTGCGTAAATTGACAGCGCTATATAAGTATCTGAAAATGTACTAGCACCCATAACACTTACTTTTGCTAGCTATATATAATATGCCCAAATCTTCCTTGTTAGAGCGTACACATGTTCAAGTATGTCCAAAATAACAAACCAAAGCCCTCTATTGCATGACAAGACCACTGTTATGTACCTATGAATAGGTCATGTTCAATGTGCAGCTAGCTATTCTTTTTCTACAATCCTCTTAACCGTAATAAATTGGGCCCCCAATTTATGTTGACTTTGGGCCTTTACTGGCAAAATATATATTCGCCAATGTCATATACACACAGTATAGCAGCAAGCATACATTCACCAATGCAAAATCTACAATAGAACTGCAAACATGTATTTGCGAATGTCATATACACAATGGAGCCGCATGTAAAATTGCTATGATGCACAAATAAACGCCAGACGGCTGTTGGAGGCGCTAGAGCAGCTTGTCATACCGGAAATACGTCATGACGTTTGTGGAAGGACGTTTGCACACCCGGAAGTGGTAGTGGGCAGTGTTGGTGGATGGGAGTGTAGTTAGGAGAGTTTAGTGGTAATTTGCAAGTCTATTTTTTAGTTTTGTGAATTGTTCTTTTGTGGAATTCCAGACCACATCGGTGGAGATCGCTGTTCTCCACCGAGGAGCTGATCCTCATTTGCTGGGGAAACATTACTAATAATTGTTGTATTTTCAGTTGAAAACATGTCCAATTCCTAGATCCATTGAGTAACATAGCAGAGGTTCAAGGTTCTTCCTAACTATACAGGTGGCACAGACACAAGCATACACCCAGGGCCACTGTTAGATATCATGGGGCCCCCGTACAGCATACCTGACAGCCCCCCACCGCCAGAGAAAAATATCCAAATTATATTTATGGTAAAAATACACTAAAAACATTATTAATGGACATAATTCCCAACCATATTCCTGTGAAATCTAAATGATAATAAAACTGTACTGAGTTCATAAATAAAG